TTTATAGCGCCGTGCTTGAACCCGGACATTAAACAAGAAATTTACAAGAAGCTAAGATATTCAAACCTCATCAGATAAGTTTTGTACAGGTTCTCGCTCGATGCTCCTTTAAGAAGCTAGAGTTAAATCCAGATAGTTCACTTCATTGGTATTAAGCAATAAAAAAAACAATATCTCGCTCATTAGTAAAGATGTTGCAGTTTCATCTCCTTAAGCAATTTTTTATTATCGCCTTCCTTTAATTATTTTACTTGTATTATTTTTTGTTTTAAAACAAAAATTCTATATTGCAAATTAGACCTTTATTTCCTCTTCTCGGAAGCAAGAAACCTTATCGCTTCATACTATGAGGGATGTTATTTCTATCGATTAGTCCAAACCTAATGAACGGAAGTGTTGTACAATAGTTATGGCGACCAGAAATAATATTTTTTTTTCAAAATTATATATATAAGAAATCTCGTCTGCGTATATTTGTTTCGGCTTCCGTAGGAGGATCAATTTACAATTAATTTAAATAGCAAACTGCCCCGCCCAATTATTTTATATATATATATATATATATATATATATATTTTATATTGGCGATTTTATGTGCTTAAATCTATATGGTAATATGAAAAAAAAAAAATTCTGGTCATAAGGCCTGTGGTAAGAATACCAATTGCAAGTAGTTCGTACTTCAAAATAGCAATCTCTCTAATATAGAATATATATATATATATATATATATATATATATATATATATATATATATATGTGTGTGTGTGTGTGTGTGTATTGAATAGATTTCCTCCATATACAAGTTGATCAATTCAATAAATATGGTGTACACGGCGAAGATCGAACTCACTACATTCTAATGGCCAGCTAGACAAATTTGTCAATCCATCCAACGTATTATTGGGTAAGCCGAGATTTGTCCACTATAAAGCCAGAAGATTACTGGTCCCCAGTGGTCTTTTGCAGTGTTTTCCAGACATTATTCCAGCTGCTGTCACCTCAACTTGTAGGCCACATCCCTAGCCTCAACTCCCAACACACATATGAAGACACTTCATTCTTCGTATTATATTGCAAAATCAAAACAACTAACACTGTAAACAAGTATTTCTATATGTCACCTATAGCATTATATATGATATCGCCAGACAAACAACCATAGATATATCTCTAAACAAACTTGGCTCCTGCAGTTTTCGGCTGTCTTTTCTGTTTGATGTCTTTCGCGTCCTGTCCAGATAATATTAACAAGATTACATACACGTGTTCGGATTTTACTTTGGCCAACAAAATAAAATTAAACAAGAACTTCGTGTCTAAATTAATATTATTCTTTGTAGAGCATCAGTGTTCCTTAAGTTTAAGTGACTTAGATTGCGTAAACCACAACAAAAGTATTCTAATGTACTTCGCCGCTCCCCACAATCCACTCCCTCCCACCTCACTGCACATCTTGGATATTTCAAATAGTTCCATGCAGATGGTATTGCCATTTTCGGTATCCTAAGTCTATTTGGAGGACTTGCTGATCTGGGTGGAGGGAGACAATTTTGTTCGAAACATCGATTTAAGAAAAATTCGAATAGATACCTGGCAGTTGGAGTCATTTTTTTTTCTATTCCTTAATGAAAATTCATTGCGTAAAATACAAGGAAATAAATTAAAAGGCGGGAAAAATATCATGCGTATCCATTATCATCGGTAAACTTAGAAGAGAAAATAGAATGTAAACAAAAAGAAGAATCAATAACACAATAAAAATTTAAATTCTTCAAAAAAAAAGAAAAAGGAAACACACACACACACACACACACAAATAGCATTATTAAATTCAGGAATTATCTTGGAGCAACCTTCGACAGCATTCACAATACTTGCTTTTCTTACTTGATCCCCTTGCCGGAATATTCATATAAACAAAAACGGTATATTGAGGAATTCCTACAGACGTGACGTCGCAACCTATCCACTGCACTATCGTTATTTCCATGGAAAATGTTCTGACGGGCTACATTTCTTAGCCTCACCAGTTCAGACCTTCACATCTAAGACAGCAAAATGACATGTAAACTGATTTGACTCATCCTCCTTCCCTTCATATTCCACTGCTAAGAAGGAAAGACATCTTCTTCCCAAGAATAGCTACTTGTCAGAACGGACTCCCGCATGTATAATTCCGTTATCACTACCATCTTAAGCTGTTTAAGTATATCATCAACCGTTATCTATCCCACATATTATAATCTGTACCTTTTACTCATCTTGCGTCCGTAACACAACCTCGTTCAGTAATCCTCTAGCTTGATTGGCACTCGAGCCTTATATTGGATAAGGAATTGTATTAAAAAAAACAAAACAAAAAACGCTGTGGTGGCTTCCTGTAATTTGATACACAGATCAAGTCCTACCCTAGATTACCATTAAAAAAAAAATCTATCAAGTAATCTTATTAATCTTGTACAAATGAATTACAGAGTAGAGAGTGGGAGGAATAGTAAAAAGAATCATTGGTAAGTACTACTAATCATAGGGCGTTGTGGAGAGCCATGATCGCCCAAGTACTAAATGGACACGGCACATACAAAATAATTAAAAAAAAATCTTACCGGTTCTCATGTAAAACAGCTATTGAAAAAAATGTTTGCATTTTTTTTCTTAAAGCTTACCCTATGCAACGGGCGTTGTAAAAATCGAGACACTGGTTAAAATTTTAAAACTGGTCGTATATTGTATATGTCAACACGAAACTCAGAAAAACGATGTAAGGAGATTTTTGCAGTTTATCATAACACGGTGGAGTAATGGATAGCGTCTCGGATTGAGGAATCGGAGTGCCGAGTTCGAATTCCAGTCGAATCCATTACATTCACTTACAAGCTAATACCCTTGGGAAATATATAAATCATCTTCTCCATAAGCTAGGTGTAAATAGGACAGACCGGGTTCTATAACCTTGCATGGCAACTGGTCTACCGCAGAAAGAAATGGCAACCTACTGATGAAAAAAATATCTGCCTTGTCAGTCATGTATCGAAAGATACATGATCGCCTACGCGTGTATCACGCATGGCACATAACTGACTGATCGCAACATGTTTAAGTGAACTGAATACAACATTAAAATTTATTTTTGATTTTTCAACCTTGGACAAAATTATTGGCTCGTTTTTAATTCAGTAACTTTGGAACTTGACCATTGTCGGATCATAAAATTAAATATTTATTGTACTTTTAAGTACAAGTTTTCCATAAAGGCAAAAATAGGGAAAAGTGCGTTGGGTGGGGATTGGTCAATACTTGTCCTGTCATTAACTTAGCTTGCCATGATCACAGACCCCGATGTGCCCGAATACTTTCCCTGTCACCAAAACACCTCATTCTCGCTGAACTCTTTTACCGAAGGGTTTCATAATACCACATTTTCTCAATCAACTGCTAACTGATCCCGCCGGATGACAAAATTAACCTTTGATGGAATCACCGATACAAAACATATGTCTTAGCGCTGGGCACTGACATGGTGTAATGGTTAGAAAGCTTGTCTCGCTAGATCAATTACGAGAGAGTAGTGAGATCGATCCTCTTTGGGTGCCCAATAATTTCGGCCTTGTGCCACATGTAAGTTACGCTAAGAAAACCATCATATACCTTAGCACGGCCTTGGTGGCAAATAGTAACTACTATTTTAATGTCAAAGAATTAAACGCGCTTATTTAAATTTCTAATTTTGATTAGAATCATTTTTTTGTGTATTGATGACATTGAAAGGAACAGGCTTCATAAAAATTACAACTTCTTTATATTACAGTAATTTACTGGGCGTAGTTTAGATGTGGCACAAGGCCGAAAGTATGCAGCACCCATTGATTGATTTGTCTGTTTAACAGCACATCACCTCCTTAGGAGTCATTTACTGCCGAAATTAAGTTTTCTTGTGAGCTTGGAAGTAATAAAAATGTTATTTTGCTTTCACAGCCGAGTGCATGGTACATGATACTCAGCTTTTGTGCATATACATGTTTGTGTGAATATAATTACCAGAGGCGGTGATGTGTGTCTTATGTTGAAGTTATATTTTGGAATACAGTTTCATTTAAGAGATTGTAGGTTATTATATGGACTAATGTCATAAAACCACTTTTAAACGGGATTGCTACAATTTGTTAGTATGTACACATTATTGGTAAAGTTTTTTTTTTATATGTAACATTGTATTGCTGGTATTTTCATGTTTTTAAAGTGTTTTATTTGGGTGGGGTCACTATTTGGCTATAGCTGAGACCCTAACAGGTACTACAGGATGGACATGAGGACAACAGCAATTAAGAGGTCGTTTTATACTTCATAAAATTATCAGTCTCCCTATCAGAGGTTTTGCTGCTGGAAGCAGTTTATCATAATACCCAGGATTAAGTAAGGATCGAACTCGCTAACCAGTCGTAATTAATCTAGCGCGACAAGCTTACACTACATGCCCTAGCGATTTACTACGGTTAGATTAGTTATGGCACATGGCAGTAAGTATGGAGCGCCAAGTGAGGATCAATATCAGTCTTAAGTGATGTAACGAGACCAGCTTGCTCACCAATAAACCACATCGAAATGCCCAACCCTGTTCAGATTATATTTACATTCAGTTTTTTAACCTACGAGTTTAAAAATCCCAAGGTACCGTTTGAATGAAAAATCAAAGATCTCTACATTCACAAATTCATGGCGGCAGATTCACGTGAGATACCGGACCACGGGGCGCCGGGTTAGAGATATACAACGGTATTAATGCATCTAGAAAGAGACGATGGTCTAACGAAACTTATTCAATATAGCTAACGAGTCTTTTTGTAGAATAAAAAGGACTATGCGTGCGTGCGTGCATAGTGTGTGTGTGTGTTTGAAAAGCTAAGAAAAGACAAAAGTTTAAGTATGAGAAAGGGGGAAGGTAAGCAGGCAGAGTAAGTAAGAAAGACATGGATAAAAAAAATAAATAAATAATCAACACATGTAAGTTAAGGGATCTCCAGCCCTGTTTTAAAGGAATACAGAGAGAGAGAGAGAGAGAGAGAGAGAGAGAGAGAGAGAGAGAGAGAGAGAAAAATAGCTTACTCCTACCTATACTTTCGAAGCTGTCACCTCGTTACGTACGTGAAATTTTTATTTTTTCTTTCTCTCTGAGAAAAAGGCTTTCTATTCAATATTATTCGCGTAAGCTTCATTAAGGATCTAATGCAGAATAACGCTTCATTGCCGTGAGCAAAACTAACCTCTTTCTCCTACTTTTTTTCTTCTTTTTTATTTTTAAGGTGAAGAAAATGGATCCAATTCGTAATAACTACTTTTGATTTTTCACCCTATTCAAACGTTGGAAAGGAGAATAAAGAAATCAGCTTCATTCAGAGATAGAGTGTGTGTGTGAGAGAGAAAGAGAGAGAATGTTAATAGTGGAGGTGTAGTAAAATAAAAAAATAAATAAATAAAAGAATACAAATATAATCTATTTCGTTCATACAGGTATTTGCAAACCTTACTCTAGGTCAAGGTCACATGTAAGAAACCCCCAGCAAGGATAGAACTCATAATTTTAACCAGGAGAGATAGGTGATTTTGGTATTCACTACGAAAGAACACGACCTTTAAAACATTTAGATTCAAATTCGAAGTCTCAGGGCAAGAATCGAACTCGTTACAATAGGAACCATTTGCTAGGATACCTTTTATTTGTATGTCAAAAAACATGAAAAGATCCATGGAAAAAAAAAAAATGTATATCCAGTTTTCACCGGTTCTTTCTTATTCGTCCTCTTAGGTTGTTTGTGTACGGCTCACAAAAAAAAGGTATAAGCAAATGTCCGTACTAAAAGGTGGTCCGAAAGTCTAGTGACCCCCTACCGAAAAGTAATGAAAACAATAGAAGTAATGATACAGGGATACAAAACATATGTACTGGATTCAGTTAATTCACTTCCATTGACGCTGTCACATCGAGAAGGTCTGTATGAACACCATTTTCATGGCAGCCGGCTGAAGTAGAAAATTATATCAGTGTGACAATACTTTCGGACCACTCCTTTTATTCGGTTTTACCCGCTTTATTCTAATTTCTCTAGCCTTAGGAAGTAACATTTTTTTGCCTAGCTAGTAAGTAAAAATATATTTCTACCTAAAGCCGGGGGGGGGGGAATCTGCGTTTCGTATGTTGATTTTGCAAACGGTTAAGACAACACCATGCTTCAAAATTGGCGCAACACAGTCTTCCTTCTATTAACCAAATTTAAACAAGCGACAAGTAAAAATAAAAAAAAAAAGTTTTAAACACATTAAAATACTCCTCCGTCTATGAAATAGTTAAAGCTTTTGAAAAGATAAAAAAATATAAGCCTTATTCATTTAGAGAGACATACATGCTTTAAGTAAAATTTAAACGATTCCCGCCCTCCCCCGGCACAAAAACAACTCAGATATAACAAATAAATTGTCGCTGATATATAAGGACAAGTCGGTACACATCCAAGTCAGTTTTTTTTTATTCATTTATTTATCCAATGGTTTGATTATGTAACATAAAAATACATAAAAAGAAAATAAACTGTTATATTTTTAGGAAGAAAAACTCATCAAAAATCAATTTTTGAGATATATATATATATATATATATATATATATATATCTTTTGGTCAGGCCGAGAACTTTTTCGCATTCCCTCGTTATTTTTCCCCTTGTTAGTCTCGTCCCACTCCAGTTTGCAGTCTATTTTCTGTACTACGTCATTATTATGCCGCCTAAGGATAACATTGAATAAATATATATTGTTTTTCGTAAGTATTGCCAATAAGTTTAAGTTGGCAGGAATTAATGTGAGAAGTGTTACTGACAAAATACAGCCACGAGAAATTTCCCGGACCAACCAAGACACCTATCTTCAAAAAAAAAAAAAAAAGCAACAATTGGTGTTTGGTCAAATTATAGAGAGTGGGAAAGACACTGAGAATATTTCAATGGCCCGTCGTGTACAACACTGGATTAATCTAGTAGCAAATGCAAAGGAGTCAGTATTAGATACTCTTGGGCTCTTTGCTGAAATCGGCTTCTCACGATTTAGGTAATGTTCATGTTTACATATCGAAAGAGCTGCATTTTTAATTAGTCACCATCTCAGGTAACATTTATTACTCTGAGGCCATTTTAAAAAAAAAAATGTCCTACTCAAATATCTCGTTAGAGACTCATTTACCTAGTATTTTTTTTTCTGGATGTGTTTATTGTGCTAACAGGAGTTAAATATTTACCTGCTTTACTATCACGATACAAGTAGAATATATACGTATTTTTTAGGCACATTTGTAACAATGCTATAAACCCGCATATGCATATTGTAAAAGACACGGTTCGGAAATTTTACTACTGAAATACATTGAAGATAAAAATAAAAATAAAAATATCAGTTATCGGAAATTAACATGTTAATTACAAAATAGTTCTTATATATGGGTAATAACTGAAGTGGCAAAATGGAAAAATCCCATTGTAGACGTTTCGTCATTCGAGACGACTTCTTCAGATTTATTTTTTAATTTTTTTATTGATGGATTATATATAGAGAGAATCAGAGAGTGGAGAAGGAACAAAAATATGAACAAACGTCTGTGATAATTATACATTGAGAGAAACACTGCAGATAGCAGGGACGCTTAACTACTTTAAATTTCTCCTGTCCGATTAAAAGAAAAACATAACCAAGCCGATTTTATCCAGCTTCCTGCAACATTTTTTGTTTTTATCACTATTGTTTTTAAAATATAGTCCACGATTGGTCATAAATACATTTACCTATTTATCTTTCTTTTTTTAAAAAAAGAAATAAAAATAAAGAAAATAAAAAAGGGATTTTCTTTATTATCCCAGACGTACATTTCTCGCGGAAGACTCGGAAATTAGATAACTTTGTATTCGCCTTCCTTAATAAATTAAAGTTTCTTTATAATTAAAGCTACATTATATATATAATGTGTATGTGTGTAATTATCTCGTAGCAATTTTTCGCACCAGAAGATTAATTAAACTATTATACGAGAGATCAAGCGCCAACAAGTTCATTTCTCATATTAGTTGTAATGTCGCTTTGAGGATTTCAGTTCTTTCACGGATTTTATTTTTATTTTACAGCTTCTTCGGAATCGTTCTAAGCACAACGATAATGGAAGAATAACCAACTTCATGCACTGCTATTTTTATCCGTTCTCTTATATGGTTCGATTTGTATTTGTTATTTTTTAAAATTCGCTTTGAATTTCATTCTTATGCTTGGTATTGATCAGTTTGCTTACGAAAGCTTTTGACAAGAATTTAACGTAGAGAAGCAAAGCTCGGGAAGCAAGGGTTTTTCTTTCTTTTTTTGATTCGTGACATTATAAAACGAGGGTCGAAGAAAGACCCATCACAATATGGGTCTTTTCAATGAATTCAGGATAAAGAAGAAAAAAAAAAACAACAAAAAAAAACGACACACACAAAAGCGGACAAAAACCTCTAACCTCTTTATCCCAAAAGTAGACAAAAACACGGTTTCATAAATAAACTGAAAATCCATCATTTAATTTAAAATTTTAATGTGAAATTGGGACATTAATAATAATATCTAATATGTACACTTAATTTATGGGTCTGCTCACTTTGTTCTAGAAATTCATTGTACATCGATCCAACCTCTTAAAAAAAACGTTTTCAAACAATGCTACAGTCTCATATTCGCTATATTTCATATTTTGGGAATCCTAGTATCCAATAAGATCCGACTTTATGTGAAGACATTAAAATTTGATTTAAAAGTTCTTGGAATTTTCAATTTATAAGACTGGGGATGCCGCTTTAGCGTGTGTCCTCCCGATCAGTGTGTCCTACCACGACATTTGTATCCTATATTATCTAACGGAAGGGGAAAAACAAAGACGGATGGGGAGGGGTGCCATTTATTGTTGTATTATACAATTTAAAAAAATATAAAATAAGAAATTTGGCTAAAAAAAAAGTCATAAAACAAGATATTTGAATCCTTTAAATTAAAACATTCTCAATGTCTTAATATATCGAGAAAAATGTCGGGACAATGGCTTAATAATGTTGGATACAAATATGGTGGTAGGATACGCACTAAAGCAGAAACTCATCGGTATGACACATGCTAAAGCGGCGCCGACTGGGGTTTTGTCTACTTTTGAGGATAAGAGGCTGAGATTTTATCCGATCACCCCTTTTCCTGCGCAATGATAGACTTATTTTTTAAAAAATTCTGACGAATAAGCCTTTTACGATGGCAAACTAATTCAAGTTAAAAAAAATTCGACATTTCAGCATTTGTAATGGAGGGAATATACAGTATTTTATTTTTATAGGTGTAAAATCACACCTCACTTAACGACCAGCTATAAAAGCAACATAGGTTATTCCGAACCTATTTTTTAACTTTGATAAGTTTTTGAAACCTATTACAAGGTGTATGCCTGAAATAATGGTGATGTACAACAACTCGTCCAACGAGTAGGCCGTTGGAACGAAAATCGGTCGCTAAGTGAGAAGTGACTCGTTTGGTAGTCTAATGCATAGATTTATTCGTGATAAATAAAAGTTATTGTGTAGATCGTATGTCATCATAGGTCTTGGATCCTAGTCTTGTTATAATATGAACACCCAGCTATGGGTTAAATAACCGCTGGTGAAAACTAGTGTCAGAAAAAAATGAATTCAAAACATTGAATAAAGCAAGAGAAAGCCATTTTATCATAAATAAAAAAAAAGCATGGCAGATCACGGATATCAGAAAAAGAATTTGTGGAGAGTCATGATGGCCTATGTCCTGAAGAGACATGGCATTTTAAAGAATATTGTTTTTATCCGTTAAACCGACCGTGTGATATTAGTTTTTTTTTAGTTTTTTCATGGCTTACAAACCTTTTGCAGATTATATGAGACAACAAATATTTTTGAATTGTGAGATTTGGGGGTGGGGAGATAAAGATGATTTAGCGATACAAGTCTTACTTATTAACCCATAGCTAGGTGGCTTCATTTTCTCCCCAGGGCTGTTTGCGCGTAAGTGAATATAACGAACCCAACGGGGATTGGAACACGCGTCTCCGATTAACAATCCCGAGCCATTATCCATTACACAACCCTCACATCTAAGTTTACAGCAACTGGTATTCCCAGGCAGTCACCCATCTAGATACTAATTAGGCTCGATATTGCTTACCTTCGGTAATCGTATGGGAATTCAACGTGATATGGCCATAAGCCTCTGTTAAATCAAAACAGAAGAAATTAATTAAAAAAATCCATTATTATTTTATAATAATAATAGTGAAAAAAAAAAAATAAGCAAATTCAAAAAAACTAAGAACTTGCTGAATAAACACTTCGACCACTCGACCAAACAGCGGAAATTAAGAGTAAAACTATCGATCCACGGCGTTGTGATAAGCCACAATAAAACAGCTATATACTGGTCACAAGATAATAAAATATGAAATTACATCGAAGAAAAAAAATAGTGATAAGTAGAAAATAATAGTAATAAGTAATATAAATAATAAGTAAATAAGAAAATGATAGTAATAAGAAATTATTTCGCTACTAAAGTGAAATAATTTTTTAAGTAAAATGTTATCGACAGATAACTTTTTTTTTTTTTTTTTCTACATTTATGTATTAAATATTGTCTGATTGGTAAGCGGTTTTCTTTCCACTATAATTGTACAAATGCTATGGCCGGTAAATAGAAACATTACACGTGGATACATATCTTAATATCAGCCGGTTTGGTTTGTTTTACGGCATATCAACCTCAATAGGTTATTTTTTTTTTTTAAGCATTTCACCCCAAGCAAGGCGGGAAGTCACTAGGACGCAAGGGGTTACAGAAAATTTAGAGCAAGATCAGATAGGCGTGATAAAAGAAAGGATGAGGGTAGTGGATAGATCAAGACAACTGGAGATGTCGATTGACATTACACTTGAATAGCTAGAGATTATAGCTCACAGGGAAACAGGAATAGGGAAGGGAGTTCCACAGGCGAGAGGTGCGAGACATGAAGCTATTAGAGTAGAAGAGGTGAGGGCGGGATGCCAGCCTCGTAAGACGCTGGAACTTATTTTAATGCCGACAACTTTTTTCCTGGAAATATTTTGCTTTGTCAAAAATCTATTTCTGGTAATATTTTTTTCCTCAAAAATGTATTGTTGGTAATATTATTTAAAAAATATATATATATTGCTGGTAAAATGTTTAAAAAAAAAAAAAAAAAAACATATTGCTGGTAATCGTTTTTTCCTTGAAAAAATTATTTCTGGTAATAATTTTACGAAGTATTTCTGCTATTAAAACCTATATTTTTACACTTTCATAAGGCTTATGACATCAGTTTAGGGGTTAACTATTTGCCCATAGCTGGGACCCTAACAGGTGCTACCACTCAGGGTCAGGGTGGACCTGGAAACACCAGCAATTAAGAGGTGGTTCCACACTCCTCAAATCCTCTTGATCAGAGATCTTGCTGTTGGACGTAGTTAATCGTCTTACTCTGGACGCGGACGTAGTTTATAGTCATACCCAGGACGGAATATCAGCCGGTCTCGAGACGAACTAAAAAGTCAAATCGTTCTTACCAAACCATTATGAAGAGAATTTAATTTTCGATTATCGACATTATTAACATTAGGACTATTGTCCTCATCTTTGTTATTGTTATCACAACATTTCGGTCGTTGTGCCCACCGTCCTTCATTATGTGTGTATATATATATATATATATATATATATATATATATAGGTGCAGAGAATTCCGAAATTAACCCTTTATTTAATCTAGTATGGTAAAAAAAAGCCATTCGACAATGATCAAAGTGGCACAGAATTAACATATTTAAGTTGTCCACTTTAAAACCTCTACAGCAAGCTTGTAGTTTTATGGCAGACAAAGCTAACTAAATCCCAAGGATAAAACTCCGATTAAAAATTTGGACTGCAGTATTTAGCTTCATAAGGTTTACGCAATCAGCCCCCAGTGAGGATCTCACTCGCTGCAGGACTAGCTTTAGAACAATTATTCCAAGATAAAGCACCCAACAGGTACTTTCGTGATGAGAGATTGTAAGGTTTCGCTTATTGATTTTACGAGTCTTTAAAAAAAAAAAGGTTACGACTTAATTAGTTGTGCGTTGGAAATCGTAATTCATAGCCAACGGCATGCATTTATATTTACAACAGCAGAAAAGTATTTCAGGTACTGCATGTTTTATATATATATATATATATATATATATATATATATATATATATATATATATATATATATACACACACACACACACACGTACTTATATACATACATATCATTAAAAATTTTGAAAGATTTTTTTAATTTGAAATTCGGGATTTAGGACCGCAAACTACGTTGCTAATCATTTTATTAATCCTGTAGTCTATTTTCGTCCAGTTAACTTATCTCTGCCATCATTAAACTGTGGGGGCCTGTTACTGACACTAGATTTCTTTAGTTGTATAGATAGATGAACATTGGGGATTTACAGTTTAAAATTGTTTTAACGAACCAGCCCTTCACAAAAACTGTACATATGGGGGTTAGGTAGCATTTCTTAGAGTGAATGTGGTGTATGTGTATAACAATATTGTGTGGATGAATATTTTTGGTGAAAGGTATAATGTTTAGACGATTGGGTCAGTAAGTGAGGCTAGCTAAGTTAGAGATAAGACAGATGAAGCGCAGCCCCCGCATATCCCAGTTTTGTCCTCATGGCGTATTTGTATCTTTTTGTACCAGAAATATAGCAAATTACGCTTGCTATTTGCAATAAAACAGATACCGTTAATCCAGATTAAAACTTATTTTGAACTGCTGTCTCGGTTTATCTGGTAACTATCATCGCTTCTTCTGTTTTCGGAATTTTAAGATTTGCAGATTAAAAAACGAAAATCGTTTCGAAACGAAATTAAACGACATTGCGACAAGGAAAAAGGTTTTGAGGAAAATTGTGCGTGCTCGTCACATGAAAATTCCGTTTTATCCGGAGTCGAGGACCCGAGTTGATACATTCAGTAAAAACAGCATACATTAAATTTAAAATTAGTTCGTTCTATCAATCTCTTACTTTTTATAGAAGCAACAACAAAAAAACATTTTATGATAATAATAATAATGACAACAATATCTCCCTCCTTTGATGATACAATGTCTTTAAACACGAGAAAAAAAAACAAAACAAAAAAATAAAATAAAAATAAACGTCCTAGGTAAGACGATAAACTACGTCCAACAGCAAGGCCTCTGATCAAGAGGATTTGAGGAGCGTGGAACCACCTCTTAATTTCTGTTGTTCCCAGGTCCACCCTGACCCGGGGTGGTAGCACCTGTTAGGGCCCTAGCTATGGGCAAATAGTTAATCCCCAAACTGGTTTCAAAATACTATGAAAGTGTAAAAATAGGTTTTAACAGCAGCAATACATTTTTGTGAAAAAAAAAAATATTACCATCAGTAAAAATCTGGTCGGCATTAAATAACCCATTGAAGCCGACATGCCGTAAAACAAACCAAAGAGTCAGTTTTCTTCACTTGTTGCAGCAAGTAATGTACAAGGTGGTCTGAAAGTCTTGGCACCTCTACGTAATATAACTTTCTAATTCAGATCGCTGACACGAGCTTCTACAGTTTGGAAGAGAAGCTGCTTGAAAGTGGATGGACACATGACCGTGTGCATTCTGGCAAGAGCATGGACGATGTGCGAAATGATTTCATTGCAAGATCCAACAAACCAAATCTTCCGAAGCGAATGATACTGGTAGGGGTAACAAGACTTTCGGACCACGCTGTACATTTTTAAAAACCTGTCACTCGCCATAATATTTTTTTGTATAAATACAAAAAAGAAAAAGAAAAAGGGGAACAAGACCAAAAGTTGATATGGGGAATGTTTTCGACATGATTGCATAGAACTTCTTATAAGTGTATGCTTTATTTTATTTTTAATTTCATCGATTTATTTTCAAAAAAATTAAAATCCGAACTTGTATCCCAAAGCAATGTCAAATAGGAGTATTGAGATTTGGCAATAATAATAATAATAATCTCATGGTCATTCAAATTCCGAAAGAATCAATATTTACAAATTTGTTTTCCATAAGACTTGCTAATGACTAAAACTAATTGAGAGAGATAGAGAGAGAGAGAAAGAGACAGAGATAGAGAGAGAGAGAGAGAGAGAGAAAGACAGACAGAGAAAGAGAAAGAGACAGAAAAAGAAAGAAAGAAGAAGATTGTACTAGTGAAGCCTTGGCGACCACGATAATTGTGATATTTTTTTCAGACGCACGACAGAACCCCAGTAAGATAATCGCCATTGAATTATTTTTTAAATTATAATGAAAGGGAAATATTATTAAGACGGGAATTTGGCTAATCATAGAGAAAAACTTTCTTTTATTTGTATTTCATCTGAGTTTTCTATCTTATGTAAGAAAAGTTATTAAATCTCTAAAAATACAATCTTTATATTGTAAAAGTTTCTATCCTTAAAACCAGTAAATATTTTTATTTATAGCAAGGCTAGTACAAAAGTTTGCATTCTAAAAACAAAAAACTTCCTATCCGATGAATAAGTAACACTGTGGGTGTGTGAAATTGTTTTAGAATTAACTATGCTTCATAAAACTAGCTGATTTTTACAGCTTATCAACACTGTGGGTCATTTAAAGTCAAAACCTAGTCTGGATTTTGCAAGTGAATATTGCATAAACTATTTTACGAGAGTAATGTTTTTTTCCAGATACACGTCTATTTAACCCATAGCAGGGGTAAAAGATTCATAACTTTCCCCAAGATATTTTCGCATAAATAATACAGGCACACTTACCATACGTCGCGGTTTGAAGAGCCTGCCCCCGTGTTCCGATAGATAGATACATAGATAGAGAGACACACACGCAGTTCTTACTGGAGTTAGGCTCATGTAAGAATCTTATTGCCGAATTATCTACACCTATAATAAAAGGTTGAAAACTGTTTTGGTTTGAGATTTGCAAATCATGTTAAATCTAGAAAACAAAAATCATATCCCCTTTAAAATGATCTTAAAACCTGACACATTAATATTGTATATGCGACTACAGACCATTAAAAAGGTTACCAACAGTTTATTTCTCCATTAAACCGAATTAAAATTTAACCAGCTCGTCGCATCCCTGTCAAGACCCTGTCAGCTTCCACCTCAAAATAGACAGAAACAATTGGAAGCAAGATACAATGTTGATGGCTTTAAAAGCTCAATAATTTAATTACAAATCTAAAAATATGTAAGCAAAGTAAAGAAAGACCAACTCGTTCCCTATTCGTGGCAGAAAGCGATCAAAACGAAATCAGTAGCGACAGGCAAACGTTTTAAGACTTTACTAAAATACTTGACCCTTACTGCACTATTGAAAATAGCATACAAATGCCTTATGATAATGTTTGTTAAAGCGTTAGAGAAACGTCGTTAGGATGTTTTCAGTATAGTATTATTATCACAGTTGTACATCAATTAAATTTACAATGACAAATCAGGTGAGAAAGACATGTTGACAAGACAATTCTATTTCCTAAACGACATACAGGTTCTTTTTATGACACTGATCACATATGGGACATTTGTACGTTTTAATTTTATCCATGACATTAAAAAAAAAAGAAAGAAAAAGAAAAAAAACAAAAGAAAAAAAAAGAAGAGAGAGAGAAGCTGACTTGTAAGCAGCTTTCACTTTTTTATTTATAATAATTGAGAACAAGATGACCCAAAGTTGCCTGGGTACTTTCATGTCATTAAGATCTTTATATAAATATTTTCTATGTGTATAAAGGAATTTCGAATTAGTACTGCTCGATATTTTATTCGATTTATTTCCATCCCAACAAAAGTGTTTAAAATAAAATAAACTAAAGTAGAAAAAACAGAAACACCAGTATCTTGGCTGAAAGCTATGAGAAAAAAGGGAACAGTGACATTAGGGTCGAGCCAATAATAAATGTACTGTGCTAAAATTAAGATAGGCGAGGTTAAATTAATTTAAAGTTCTAGGAAAGGTTGACAGTCCAGATATTGGCATTGTTGGGGATAGTGAGGATACCGAGTTAGGTAGTGGAGTTTTTAAAATTATTATCAGTCTTCAAGAATAACCACCAGACATCTTTTGTGTCCGAGTGTATATATATATATATATATATATATATATATAAAAACCTGTTAAAGATGTTACGGCTCAAGCGATACCAATGCTGGAATCTTTATTTTGTTTACCTTTTTTGGCTTTGCAGAGATCCGATCTCACTCTCTGAACTTAGAATAGATTTGTCCAAAAAGAAGAACTGGCCTCCATCAATTGATTCAAATGAAGTTACAGATGTTACATAATTTTCCCCTCTCCAAGATATACACACGCATTTTTATATAAATGTATAAGGGAAATGGTCAGAGTTGAATTAGACCAGAAGAGTAGTGTTAATATAGGTGAGAAAAATAAGTAAACATAAAAACAACATGTAGAGCTTTTAAGTTTAAAAACCAGAAGTCAATTAAAATACGCGACCACGGCTTTGACTTGACGGTTTCTTCGGGTGATACTTTTAAAATGACCACTTTAACGCTATATTTCAATAGACCTTTAAGCGAAATTCCTCTCGTAATGGAGTTCCCTAAATTTTTATATCTACTCAATTTCGTATCCAAACGTAAACAAAGGAATTTTATCAAATAATTCATTTTTATTTATTGATCCAACAGATTTTATCACTTAAACGATATTTTTAGTGGATATTTATTTATTTATTTATTTATTAAACAGTATATTCATTTTTGTCTACCGGCCTGAATATTAGAGAAATCTTAAACGAAAGAGAAATCTTAAACGATAGAGAAATCTGCGCTCTCCGTCGTGGGGTATGCCCACTTGGAGTGAGAAAACCTCAGGTTATGTAAAGACAAATATCTTGGAGAGGGGAAAATTATGTAACATCTGTAACTTCATTTGAATCCATTGATGCAGGCCAGTTCTTCTTTTTGGACAAATCTATTCTAAATTCAGAGAGTGAGATCGGATCTCTGCAAAGCCAAAAAAGGTAAACAAAATAAAGATTCCAGCATTGGTATCGCTTGAGTCGTAACATCTTTAACATGTTTTTGCATAATGTGACCCGGTCGTAGCCGAAAAGGGCAAAACACCCAAAGTGGAATTACGAGGCTCACAAAAATATTACAACAACACTTTAATGAAAAGGGGTCCACATCTGTACAAGTGTTAAGTGTTAGAGACCCTAGCAAGGACTGAAAAGCTATATCTGTGTTGTCTATATTTGAACATCAGTTAATCGATTACATTAGTTGAAATCGAGTCGAAAGTATGTTCAAAACTGAAACTAAATTTATAAATTTAGTAATAAAAATTAAACTTAAAGTCCATAGTTTCGTTTCATTGTCAAGTGATGTTATGAATAACTAAGAAATTTACTATATATAAAGTTTTCAAATAGCTGATTGATGTTACCTTCAGCCTCTAGTGTTACGTAAACGTGCCCTCCAGCAATCACCCGTCCAATGACACACACACACATATATATATATGTATTACTTTAAAAAAAAATAAAATAAAATAAAAAAAATGAATAAATAAAAGCTACTCGTCTTTAAACATAAAAAAAAAAAATCTAACGCAGGACCCCCCCATACTTGTAGTTAGAGTTTGTTTTTTAAATTAAAAAAAAAAAAAAAAAAAAGAAAAAATACATTAAGAATGTTTTTCGGAATTACCTTGAATAATCTACCTTCACACATAAAATAAAAATAAAAAACAAAAATAACAGAAAGTTGTGATTAGCAACTGAAGTTGTGCAAATTACTTTGATGATTAATTAAACGTCAACAAGAATTTGACTCATCAATGTTTTGGGGATAAATGAAATCAGAGTGGAACTCAGTCATGAAGATATCCCCACGAGATTACTGAGGGAAAATTCACTTTTGTTTACTTAAACTTGTCTGAACAAGAAAACGAGTAATAAATTTGACAGTAGCCACAATCACACTTATTAGATCTTTTTCTTTTTTCTTTGTGATTGTTTCTTTTACAATTTCCCCAAGAAAAAAAATATATATAAGAATACTGTGGCGTCACTCTTTGAGTTTCTGGTGTCAAAAATCAATCGAAACATTTTATGAACAAGAAAAAAGACAGTTGTAGATGTTTAATGCATAGAGTTCATTTTTCTAAGACTTAACTAACAAAAACATTCTTTCTTTATTTTGTATACACTCAAATATAATTTAAGTATAAATTATCTCAGAAACTTATCAGAATTCGGACATTTTTTTATCGCTTGCCACAGAAAAAAAACGAATTGTGCTTACAGCTTACTTTGTCAAAAAAAAAAAAAAAAAAAAATTGTCGATTTGTTAATTTTAGAATGTCTGCTTTTATTTATTTTTTTTGCTTAACGAAATTACAAAAAGTCACAAAAAGTTAAAGCATTCAACGGCTCTATAATTGTATCCTTGACGACTCAAACCGTAGACTTGATAGTTCGAATTGTTTCTTAGGCGATCGATAAAAATCGAAAATGAACGCCCTTGATCTGGTTAAAACTAAAAGTTACCCTACCAATCAACAGGCTAGATTTAAAATTCCTAACAGAATGGCTGCGTATATTATTTTTTTTAAAACAATTCCTTTAGAGACTGGCAAAAAAAATAAAAAAATAAAAAATAAAATAAAATAAAAAAATAAAACAACGCCTAATGCTTATTAGTCATTTAGTTGTTATTTACAAATGTCAAGTTTTAAAATGTGCTAACATTGATATTTACATTGCTTTTAGTTTGTTTTTGTTTTTTAATTTTCTGAATTTAACCTTTTACAATTATTATTTTTAAATTTAAAAACTTTTTTGTATGGGATATTTTCGGAAGTGCATGTAAACATTTTAAGTTCATAATTATTCATATACTGATATATAATTTTATTAATTTATAAATTTCTGTTCTTTACTTAAAAACGTGTAGATATCCGTTTGTTCGTTAAGAGAAATCATTTTTATCACCACATCCAAAATATAAAAAAAAGTATATAATTTGAGTTTTTCTCCGGGCATAAAGCAGCTAAGGTCAATACATCTGTAAAAGTCAGGGATCGATTTGACAATATATTGATAATATAAGCTCCTAAATCGATAACAAAATCAATATTTCTTGGTTCTGACAAGTGTCGTGTCCTAAGAAAGGTATGAAAATGTTAATCTACAGAAATTA